TCTAGTAGCTCAACGTTTTCCTAAATAACTATGCCATGAATTTACTTGCACCATTTGTTCTATTGATACAGATGCTTATTGCCAGTAAATATTTTGGTGAAACTGCTGAGCACCCTGGTGGTTTAGTCAGGATAGATCAAGAAATAGCTACTAGTGTAGTAATTCAGAACAAGGTGCAACTCTTTCTTCACTATTTATGTGCTTTCTTCACAGCAATGCATGTAACTTTGTAGGTCTGTGCAATGGTATAATTTTTCCTGTGATGTAATTTGTGATTTACATTATCTCTAAAGCATGACTGACTTAGATCTGAAACTGCAGGTGCTGTCTCAGCCTCAGTTTCATTTTCATGAGGACCAAGGCAAATAGCAAATTCAGTTTAACTTAATTTTGACATACTACTTCAAAGCTGCGGAGTTACTGCTTAAGCTTATGATTCAAACATATTCTCTGGAAAGTATTTCAAAAGTAGAGACTATTTAGCTGATTTCTATTCTGTTTGTTATTTTATACCTATCTTTTGCTATTCTAAAAGTGTGAGTAACTTCATTCTTTTAATCTCGGTGGTGAGCAGCAGTTCTTTTGCACCAGCTTTTTGAGATACTTCCTAGTCTTCTGACACTGGAGTATGCTTAGATAATACAATAGTAGCTCAGTGAACAAAAATTACGTAAGCATAAAAGTGGTGGAGGACCGTAACTTTCACTGTTTGCATTGGATATGGCCTCTGTCTTTAAAAGGGAGAAAAAATAATGCTTCTATTGCTATTATTTTAAATGTAGAGAGGAAGAAAGGCATTGTGGAGATAGACCAGGAAGAAGACTTGAAGTGAATTGTGAAATCTTTATTTCTGGAGCTGTGGAAAAAAGTGCTGCTCAGCTGCAACTCTAGATTGATGTGGAGTGCATGGAGACTGAAAACCTCGTTCTCTGCAGGGGTCTGTTTGCTTTGGGTGGGCTCAGGGAGCTGCTCTCTGTAGAAGGCTGATTTCTCCCGCACAACATAGCTGTGACTAGAGCTCTTACCCAAAATATGGGAAAAAGGGGTTCAGTTTGCTCTGCTTGCCAAAGAAATGAAAACAAAAAAAAAAATTAAAGAGAACACTGATTCTGTTTGTGGTCTCACACCCTTCTTACTGAAGTTGGTCGTTATTAGGAATATTAGGATTTATTTTTGGAGCCAAGAGGTAGAGAAAAGATTAAGTTGGACCTCTTTAGCTATTTGCTCCAGGGAATTCGTCCCTGAGAGAGGTTGTTTGGCAGCCTCTGCATCAGAGGCACTTTATATTTGAATGTGGCTAAGTCCAAGTTGCCTCTTGTAAGTGGGTCTCAATCCCACTTTGAGTAGCAGTAAGTTGTAGTTTGAAAACTCCCAGGCTTGTATTTAAATACTTAAGTATTTATTTAAATCATTAACAGTTTTAACTTCCCATCATGTTAAGGAAAGAAGGAAGTAAAGATTGAATACCGATTGCTAGTCCTTTCTGAATTGGTGAGGCACTACCACTTCTTCTGTCAGTCTGACCCAGCAACCTGAAGTCACACAAAGGAGGTAGCTCTGTGACACCTGTGGTGGTATTGTTCAACCATAAAACTTTCAATAGAGCAGTGAGAAACAAACCCGAAGCAGTTATGCATTTGAGTTCTTGATGGGCTTGGATTGACAATGTGCCGAAAAAAGTAGGATCTGAGGAGGAGTACTGTTCTTTGCTGAATTGCGGTTTTCATGGTCCATCAACTAAGGAGAAGATCTCTAATGATCTCTGAGGTTAGAGTTTTGAATTTGAGAATTTGAACTTAATGTGGAAGACTAAGACAGTATAAGAAACATGAAGATTGTGCATATTGGTTGAATGTTACTCAGTGAATGAGCCTGTATCAGATAATGCAGACAGAGCTAATAACGTGAGTCAGAGATGGTCTTTCCAGTGTTCCTCATGTATTCCCTGTGTGATTCTACCCAGCCCTTCAAAGAGCCCACCAAGTCACGAGAGTTGTGACTGGTGGTCTAAGTGCTGAGGTTCCCCTCTCTGCTTCTTCACACTGACAACTGATGCTCCTTTCTAGCGGAGAAACTGCTCCAAATGAAAGCAACTGTGTTCCTCTTTCGTGTAGCCCTGATGCTCCATAAGGTGTCTGTTTTGACATACTGGCTCTACCATTGCTAATTGCATTTATTTTCCTGCCTCGTGCTTTCCTGTATCAAGTATGGCTATAGCTAGATATAGTGATCAAGAGCTGAGTTCTCTGTGCAGGAATTGTTTTCGATATTGCAGTACATAACACAGAAATGCATATTTGTTGAAGAGCAAAGTAGTTTATGTGCAAAAAATGTAGTACCTCTCTTGTAGAGCTGTGAACTCTGTTAGAATTGTGTTTCAGTCAGTACATAAAGCTTTCCCAGTTATGCGACTTTTAAAAAATGGGATTTGTACTGTGTGCATAAATTTCTTTTTGACTTTGTTAGTTCAAGGATTGGCCTCATGAGCTTTCTTAGCAACCCTGCATGGATTTAGGACAGATATTTTAAACTGGTTTCCATATAAATTTTTTTCACTCAGATAAAAAGCTCTCTAGTAAAGATAAGTGGCAGTTTAAGCAAAAATGCTTTTTTAGAACTTACATGACGTGTATAATAGTTAAGGACATGTTAGTAGTGTACATCTTTTGTTTAATTCCCCAGTTAATTAACAATGAGAAAAGTATTCCTAGTTCAGTATTGGGTAGTAATGACAAAAATCCCGTTTAACAATGCAATGAGAGAGTGAGCTGGTGTTTCTGTCAAAGGAGACAGTTTTAGCAGATTAGCTTCCTTTTGATACAGAACAAAATAGAAATTGTATTAAGCACTCAATTTATGAAATGCTTTTTCACCTGTAACTGAGGCCTTTATGTTTTGATTCAGTTCTTAATTTTGTGAGCAGGCATTTCTTCTGTTGGGACCTTATTCAGTACTAGGAATAGATTTCTTGGAAGATCCAGATGTATATGGCAAAAAGCATCTTTTCTGTTGGATTCCTGCTTCATTTGTTTGGGGTATTGAGAAGGGAGTTAATAGCTTGCAGAAACCATGCAAAGGGGCAATGATGTTTATGTTTGACTGTGGGAGTTGAGAGAAAAGACCTGCTGAATATAAGTGTACAGAATCAGGGCCTTATTTTTAGAGTGCCTGACTTGAGATCTGGTGAGTAGATTTGTGAAAATAATGAGGACTTGATGACAAAAAAGTCCTTGGTGACAGTTGTGCTTTAATCATAATGGTACGTAATGCTAAGTATTTTGAATAGTTGCATTCAAGTCTTCACTGGGCAGCTAAGGTGAAGCTACGTGGATGGCTTTCACTGTAACTTTTTTGTGACAGCTTCTCACCTGAAAAATAGGTGTTACTACAGCCTTTTTACTAGTTGTGCTGTGAATGTGACTCCTTAATATTTGAAGAGCACTTAAAAACTATGTTAATAAGTGCTATATATGCACGCATGTAATAGTGTATGTGCAGTAAATCAAAGCAAGGGCCACTCATGTCAATGCAGCATATGATATTGAATCCCTGCTTTGGTAAGTAACACTGGCTGTTTTGTGTTTTGACTGTGACAGGTGATCCAGTGGAAATATGACGCAGATTCATTCCTTAGAAACCATACCTAATTAATATGTGAAAGGGTGCCCAAGTGAAGGTTAGATGAAGCTTTACTTTCCAAAACGTAGCTGTTTGATTTGGCGGTTTTTTTTAACCTGTTTATGTGACATTGGCAAAACTGATGAGCCTTTTAGTACGGTGTACCTTTTGTTTATAGTTTTTTAATTGGAATAGGGATGTGTTTGTCTGACATCTGCACACTTTTTCCTGCTCTTCTGTATTCTTGAAATTCTTGTGATCGTAATCTATTCCTCCAAGCACCCGTCAGGATTTGTGAGGGATGTCTTGTAAGAAAGGAACCCACAAACACAAATTGAATAGTAAAAGAATGGGAAAGAAGGGAAAAGATTGTAGTTGACCATTGAGTGTGTCTTAATTTAGAAATATCAAACTAGGTAGATGAAGACCATGTGATATTTCTAGTGTTATCTTTATTTTCCTCTTCTTGTAACATACACTTATTTTTCTCCTAAGGTGAGACGTGCGTATCTCTGGGTGTACAATGCCTTTCCTTCTGGAGAAAATAGCTTCTAATAGCATCTGATTGGAACTATTACAGTATGAAATGATAGGAATGTGTGATCTTCACCTGTTTTTTTAAAACAAGTTTAGTTTGCATTCCATCATGAAATTTGTAGAATGCAAAAAAACTCTTTGCTGGCCACATGTAGAACATAACCAAGTTAGATTGGTACAAGCTCCTCTCTTCCCTTCTTCAAAGTGTACTGTTTCTGCAATATGTTTCACTTTTATTCACCCCATGTTCCAGCTTAATACTTTTAACGTGAGCTCTTTGGGTTGTTGCTACTGGAAACTAGTATGCTCCAAACTATGATCTATAAATATTCATCTTGTAAAGAAATGTCATCTGCCTTTCTGGCCAGAGTAGTGAACTTTTACAAGTCTAAGTTTGTTCCTTGCTCTCCTTGATCTCCTGTGAGACAAAGCAAATCACTTTGTCTGAAATCAAATCACTTTGTTTGAAATCTGCATAACCTCCAAACAAATACAAACAAACAAACAGAAATCTACGGGTTTCTCGGGAGTTTGCAGAACTAGTTCCTAACTGTAAAAGATGTATTCAGCCATGGCAAAATGGCTATTTGTTAAAGCTAGTTAAAATTAGACTTGAAATTGGATAATGAAAAACATATTTTTAATTTGTGTTGTTTTCTGAGAGGGGAACTTTGACCAACAGGACACTTTGTCTATTTGGGACGCTTGCTGAGGTTTCAGGAAGGCTAATAAGTTGTCAGTACATTTTGTGTATGCGCTCACTAAAAAAAGGGAAAGGAAACCTGTAAGACTTAGGTATAAAAATCAATAACACTGCTTCGCTTTTTAATTGTTTGTTGTTAAAGGTCTTCCATATCTCAAGTTGAGAAGTTCCGTATCACACTAAACATGGAGAAAGAAGAAAAGAAGTTTGTCAATAAAGCAGAGGAGGATGAGATGGTAATTAATTGTATTGTCTAATTTCATATAGTAAAGAGACAAAAAGAACATGCTTTTTATTTACTTTCTTCCTAGATGAGGCATATTACCTCAGGAGGTGGACTATCTCAATTTAAAATAGTTCAGCAGTTTTATGAAATTATCCTTGATAATCTTTTTTTTTCTGGTATTATGGAATCTAGTACTAGGAAAGGGAACTTTTTTTGAAAGCCTTGGCAGAGATGCTGGGTTGGCTGCATTTTTAAGGCCAGCAATCCAAGAGATATCAGGCGTTGGTACTTGAAAGCATTGTTTAAAGGCGAATGTCAGTGAAACACAGTCTTTCTGCAAATCCTAGAGCTTTTTTCCTGTGGCTGAACCAGGCTATCTCTGTAATTTGACTGTATTCTGTGCGTGCTCTTGGTGAGTTTGTACAGATAGGATTCCCCATTCCATAAAGCATGGAGAGCACTTTTATAGCTGTTTGGTGGCATTGCCATAGCAAGCTTTAATGCTGTCTCTTATTGTTTATTCTGGAAGTCACAGGAGTTAGCTTTGAGAGGAAACCAATGGCAGCTGATGTTTAAATTTCTAGACCATTTTAGAGACAGCAGAGGATATATGGAATATTTTGGCATTTTTCTTTTGGGAAAGAGCAAACTCCTGTGAATTGAATTCCTTGCCCTTCTTACACACTCCTAGGAAAAATTGCTCTTTATTAGACCAGCTGTAAGATAGAGAGTAGGCAAATAAGCCCTACAACAAAAAACAAAACTGAGCTACTTAAGGTCCAGTCACGAAAATAAATGCTTTTCGGAGAAACTAATTTTATGTTGCTTGAGAAGAAGCATTAGCCTCTCCTCCTTTCTTTCACCTCTCCTTTTTTAGTGGAAATAAATAAATGCGTTCTCCAGTGTTTTGGGGGTAAAAGTGGGAGAATGGGTTTTGTCGCTTCTTTTTATCAGCTGAGAAGGCTACAAAACAAATTTAAAACCTGTTTTAATAAAGTTATTTAAATGATTTCTAGTAGCGTTTAATTAAAACTACAGCAAATTTTGGAAAAAGTCAGTGTTAATATGGATGATACAGGTGGGACTCAATGGGAAACTTTGCTGTCCTTTTGGAGCAGGAACTATAATCTAATGATGTACTATGAAACTCAGGGATGTAACACAGCATCTAGTAAGGCATTGAATTATTTTCCGTTCCTGTTCCTGGCTGTCATCAGGTTAAGTTGGTGCTTGTCTTTGACCAAGGTGCACCTGATACTTGATGGGTTTTTTGATGGAGGAAGAGGATTTTTCCATCTGGCAAGTTACATAACCTTTGGAGTCCCTTGGTGTTTCATATTATCATTTCTTGTTAAACGGCAGGCAAAATAATTTGGTGGTTCTAGTAAAACACTTAAACGTGCTTGCTTAGAAAGTACTTTGAAAATCTGCTAGCACCAGTAATTCAAAACTATGTATGCTGGCCAATCAAATGCTGATATGTTAAAATCAACATGTGGCAAAGTGAAATATGCTTTTGTTCTTAAATCCCGAGCTGGGTTGTGCTGTCTGTTGCTCATGGGCATGGACAACAATTTGGTCCTTTACTGAGAGTTTAGGGCAGGTTATAGTACAATCTGAGTCCTTAAGGAGCAATTGAGAAGAGAGACAGGTCCTATAATGAAGTATTTTAAATGACTGTGCACGCTCTGCCTTTGTGTGAGTTACACTAATGTAACTTTGTACTTCTGACTGAGCAAAGCAGCCTTTTTTTTTTTCTTGCCACCTCCCTCCCCCCCCC